GAAATGTTCTTTGGTTAATCCCTTCACCATCTTTCATCAGGTCCCCCCTCCTTTCTGACAGCTGCCAGTCTGTTTCATGTGTCTAAGCTTCTGTTACTATTTTATTTGTTAGTTTATTGTGTTCATTAGATTCCACATGTAAGTGAGATCATGTCTCTATTATAGTGTTGTAAACAATAGTGGTCATCCTTGTCTTACTGCTGATCTTTTTAAAAAAGATTTTATTTATTATTTAGAGAGAGGGTAAAAGAAGAGAAAGAGAGGGAAAGAAACTGCCATCAGAAACATCAGTTGGTTGCTTCTCACATGCCTCCAACTGGGGACCTGGCCTGAAACCCAGGCATGTGCTCTGACTGGGAATCTAACAGGTGACCTTTCGGTTTGCAGGCCAGCTCCACTGAGCCACACCAGCCAGGGCTTATTCCTGGTCCTAAATTAATGTTTCTCCTTTAAGTACTTATAGATTTTTTTAATGTAACATTTACAAGTTCTTTCCTAGCCGTAGTTTGCTGACTTTTTATCAAAGATAGGAGGTGAATTTTGTCAGATACTTTTTCTACAAGAAGACCTTCCTTTTGTCTTTAGCTGAAGCTGGTACTTAAGGTGGTGGCGTGGGCCATTTGGGGGGTTTTATTCAACTTTCTGGGGTCTCTCCCATGTGTACAGGAGGTATACATGTTATTAAACTTGTTTGTTTTCCTCTTGTTACTCTGTGTTTTACTGCAGGGAGGGAGGTCCCAGCCAAGAACCTAGAGGGGTCAGTGGAAAATCATTTTTCCTCCCCTACAGTTTCTTATTAGTGCCCGATGGTATGAAATCTTCCTTTTCTTTCTTCAGCACACAGGCTGTTTATTTTATCTTCTCAGTCCCAAAACTCTGTTTCCAGTGGTATGTGTCATTCAGCGTGCTGTCCTTCTTTTACACTGTTCAGAGGACTGTTCTTTTGGCCTTCACGTTCTCTGGTTAACGGCCACTCTGTGGGGCCAGGTGTTGGGAAGCACTGAAGGCCTGGCCCTAGCATGTGTGTGCACAGGGTGAGGGGTGGGGACAAGCCCTCAGCAGAGAGCCCCAGCCATTGCATAACGACCATTGATAACCCCTGTTTGCTGCCAGGTCACCAGCAGACACCCCTGAACAAGGTTACAGGCATCAACAGAGTATGATTGGTCAATCTGCAAGTCTTTGCATGAACCAGGGCGGGCTTTTACAATGTCCCTCCCCCCACTGCCCACTCCAGCCGCCCTCCACCCCAGCTTCAGCTCCCTTTCCAACCTCATCCCCACCTCCACCCCCACCCTTCAGACTTCTCAGGGATTTCTCACAGCTTTTTTACTTATTTCCTTTGTAAAAGTCCTCACCTGACGTTATGTTCATTGATTTTTAGAGAAAGAGGAAGAGCGAGAGAGCGAGAGCAAGAGAGAGAGAGAGAGAGAGAGAGAAACATCAATGTGAGAGAGAAATATTGATTGGTTGCCTCCCATTCGCACCCCAGCTGGGCACTGAACCCACAAACTTTTGGTGTTTGGGATGATGCTCCAACTAACCAAGCCACCTGGCCGGGACTCTTACAGTTTTTATAAAAAACTGCTTTTCCAATTCACACTTTACTTACTTTTCTAGTGCTTTTTGGGTTGGTTTGGAAAGGAGCAGTCAACAGCCACGCTGCCAAGTGGAAAAATCTTCCCATGATCTGATGCTGCGCCAGTTACCTGTCGGCACAATTCTGAGCCCTCAAAACAAGCAAAGGAGATCAATTACATAAATTGGTTACTTTGTGACATATTGTTTGCTATTGGCATAAAGTGACTGTGAGCAAGCAATCTTTTTCAAACCGTTTAAATGCCTGTGAAGGTGACAGCTGACAATAAATGCCAGAGAAGGAATGACGTGCGACGCCAGGGTTTGCTCACCGAGGATCACGGTGACTGTGCTGTTACTACACTGTGTCTCCCTTGTGTAAATATTGAATCTTCCCTCCTGGGACTGCGTGTCACCCTGCTGGCTGTGTCCCCTGGGTCACCATAGAGATCACCTGGATGGGGAAAGTCGAGAAACAGTAAAGCGCCAGGTGCTCAATAATTGTCTACTGAGAAATTCCATCAGACTCCACAGCCTTCCCCCCCACCTTTTCTCAGGACCTCTCACCTAATTAGACAAAAACGTGTTCACATTACCCGTGAGCCTCAGCACTCCTCCCTCACAGAACTCCGGATCTGAATGTCACCCCAGGTAGTAACAAAAGGCAAGACCTGCCGGAGGAGAGACGGGTTAACCAGTAACAAAATCACCCGCAGCCTTGGCTCTTCCTCTCCCACAGCAGAATCCACGTGTGGTTGTGGGGAAGAGCCTTAGCTACGGAGGGACAGCCGGGACAGCCAGGCCGTGCTGCAGGCCCACCTGGGACGTGTGGCTGTGAATGTCGACGGTGCCCTGGGCCAGCCCGACAGAGTGAGTGCGTGGCCAGGGGTGTGCAAAGGATCCTTTATGGTGCTGCACCGTGAATAATCTGAATTAAGTAAAGAGAGAAAAGAAGTCATGGGTGTGATAAATGGTGACGATGTAGAGGACTCAGTGGTGGTCCCAGTGGGAGAAAAAGGTGGGGGTGCTTTAAAAGCGAGCTGGGAAGGTAGAGGTTGTTAGAAAATGGGCTGATGCGATGAAAATGTGGGAGACGGTGTAGATACTGTGACGGTAAGGCTGAGAGTGTGAATTCGGAACAGGAGGCTAACGTCGCGCAGACAGGTCATGCAGAAGTGGGAGCATGGGCGAGAGGCCCGGTGGGGGTTGAATTACCTATGGGAACAATGATATCTCCAAGATCGCGGAGAGGGTTGATGGTAGAGAGGAAGGTAGTGACCCATGTGCTTTGATCTTCATGACGAGGGTGTGGAGCAAGACTGTTAGGTGACGGAAAGAGCGAAGGGCACAGGGTGGCCCAGACCGATTGCCTGTGCTTGAGGAGAGGGGTTTTCGAGAGGAGGGAGATGAGTGCAGACTTCTGCGTATACGTTACACTGATTCTCTCTCTGCTTTTATCCTTGGAGACTGGGAGACACCCGCAAAAGTAAATGCTATCAAGAGTAGAACTTTCGCCCTGGCTGGTATGGCTCAGTGATTGAGCGCTGGCTTGCGAACCAGAGGGTTGCTGGTTCACTTCCCAGTCAGAGCACATGCCTGGGTTGCAGGCCAGGTCCCCAGTGGGGGTGTGCAAAAGACAACCACACATTGACATTTCTTTCCCACTGTTTCTCCTTCCCTTCCCCCTATAAAAATAAATAAATAAATAATCTTAAAAAAAAGAACTTTGTAGCTGTAGATTAGTTATGTTTAAAATGCCTACTGGCAAGTCTTGCTTCTTTGGGATACCAAAATGTATTTTGTGATGTACTAAGGATACTGGTCCTGAAGTCTACCAAATATCATAGTGCATTTTAGTCTAAGTCATTATCTGGATGAAGCTATAAGGGTAGCTGTAGATGACTAGGAATTATGTCCTTTGTATTAAACCCAGATCTATGTCTGAGTATGTGGTTAATGCTGTTGTGAAAAACATTTTACCTTTTACCTTTGTCGGTTTGTAATGAGAGGATTTCCTTTTACCCTTTATAGCTCAGAGAGCACCTAATGTATCATCTCAAACACAATAAACATGCTCCTGGAGGGGAAAAAAAACACGGAAGTAATTTGTGTCAACACATAGCAAGTATCAATGCTGAGCAGAGGACTCGCCTCGTTCTGAGCACTGACCTACTTCGTACTTCGGGGATTGGTGACCGGGGGTGGCTATTGCCTGAGAGGCAAAGGGCACAGCTGCCATTTGGAAGCTGCAGTTGGAGACAGAGCATTTTCCAGAGAAAAGGTGGCAAGTAAAGGATTTTAAATGCATGACAGAAGGCACAAAAGGCTCTGTGGAAAAGCATGGGGTGCCAGAGCGAGGTGGGGGCCTGGGTGACAGAGTACAGTACAAGATGGGTAGAGGCACGAACCTGAAGGCAAAGGAATACCTAGAAGACTTGGACTTCTGGGGGCACCTGTGTTCAGGAAAACAAAGTCACCTCTGTCTCCCCTCAAACAGCAGTCACTCAGGCTCTTCTCCACACCCCCCCCCACAGGGCCGTATGGGACGGGGGTTAACTGAATGAACTAATGAATGAACACAAGACTCTCATGAAAGACCGAGGTACCAGGAGAGAAGGGCGAAGGCAGAGATTCATTGGAAGATCAGATAACAGGAACCTTTTTATTGAGAAGAGTGAAGTGGAAAGACCAGAATCTGTAGTCAAAAGACACAGGTGCGTCTGCAACCTTTCACCTACTGGGCGCAGGTGCGTCTTTGGGAAAGTCTTGTCTCCAGTCTGCTTACCTCCGGCCTCGCCTGTAAAGCTGATCTTTCCTCTGTCCCTAGGAGGCTTTGAGCTTCAAGTGACAGTCACCTCTTTGGAGCCCCTGCACTTCTATTGTCACACTGACTGCGCTCCACTTGGAAATTGTGTAGAACTGGACAAATACAACGATGACCACAAGAACAGGAGAAATAGGGCGGGCTCCATGCCCTTTCTGGTACCAGCCCTTTGCCCATCTTCCAATACTCCCAACTTCTTAAAGGGCTGCTATCATTCCTTTGGTTTTGAAAGATTCTTCTTATTATGCATTATACATTAAAATTATAAGAGCTGACTCCACAGAGAGCATTCTGGACCTCCACGTGAGAGTCACTCAGGCGAGCAGCTGGGGCCCAAGACAGGCCCAGGCGAGCTCCCCTCGGACATGTTGCCAAGAACGTCATAGCCACCAGTGGGGGCTGGACACGACTAAGGCAGCCGCGGGAGCCCGAGAAAGGAGGAACCAGAGCTGCACGTCCTGCACACGTCCAGGGGCAGGACGACTACGTACACGTCGGAGAGATGTTTCTGTTTGACTTGCCGGTGTTCTGAGCGAGACCTTTGGCCCAGTTTGGCAGCCAACTGAGCTTTGATACACTGGGGCATGACTCGGAGGGCAGGTGTCTCCGGGCTCTATAAAGACTGACTGAACACTGCCAGGCACCTCTCCCGAGGACCGTGTGTAAACTCTGGCTGTCTGCTTGCTCCTCGGAAAATGCAGCGGCTGCTGAGTCCAGCAAAGCGACTTCTACAGGTGAAGAGTGGGATGCAAAAAGCACCTGCCGAGGCTGCTAGCCTTCTCTCAGCTGCCCTCCAAAGGTAAGTCACGCTGTTCCCAGGGACCGTACGGTCACTCTTAGAGAAGTGTCATGGAACCAGTAAAAGACAGGCAGCAGACCTGCTGTAAGGAAAAACTCACTAGAATCCAAGTCACATTGGCAAGGCTTGTGCACAGCTTTAGATAAGCGCATTAACCTCTCGTGGCCTGAGCTACTTCATCTATAAGTGGACAGCCCCTCACAGCCACAGAGTTGCAGGATCTCAAACTCCAACACCTGCTGTCTGTACGTGAGGACGTCTGTCACTCCCCTGGCTGCATGAAGCCGTGGGAATATCAGTACCGGGACCCGCAGACTTCTCCTCTCCACTGCCACCCCCTCTGCCCACAGCCTCTGCTAAGACCCACCAGGTCTGTGCCAATGGCAATGTTAGTAAAACCAGCAGCTTCGGGTCACACAGCAGTTAACAAATGACTAAGGATAAAAAGTGTCTTTCTCTGCCCTCCGATTTCATGAAAGGGTAAGATGAGATCTAAAGATGTGTGTGAGTGAGTGTGTGTGTGTGTGCATGCATATGTGTGCAATCTGCTTGTGCACAGAACTGCCTGTGCTCTCCTTTCTGTGTAAACACGTCCCCAGTCTGCCCCACGCACTTGTGGTCTGCAGTGTGGACGGTAACCCAGCTACAGCTGGTCCCCCAGGGCCCCTCAGCCACCCGCTGCACGCTACAACCAGCCCTTTCCTTCCTGCCATTTCTACACAGCATTCCGTGAACGCTTGGAAAAATGGCTTTGATCTTGTGTTTTAGAGTCTTCCCTTGCCTGGCACGTAGAGAGCCTGGGCGTGTGAATAAGTGGAGTAGGTGACACTCTCCAGCCTTCCTGTTCTCCTGCAGGACGCCCCACCATCGTCCACACTCTCCCTCACCCCGTGTACTGATCAAACGTCCCAGCTCGGAATCCCCTCTGTTTTCGTGTTTGTGAGGAAGGGGATGATGTGGGTTTGCGTGTTTCGATAAGCAACATCTGGCTGCCCGCCAAGAACCGAACCTCGGTCCTCACTGACCTGCCCCTTCTTCTGGCGTTCTTGGTTGAAGCTCTGGGAATCGTCATCCACATCTCCTTTGTTGGTGTATGCACAGCTGATCCCATGCTCTGGGGTCTGAATAGGTATTCCGAATCTTCTTTGTGGGTCTTTTTTTTTCTCTATTTGTCTATCCCCTCCTAATCCAGCCTGCATCGACTCGAAAGCCATCCTCAGAGCTGGTCCCATCTCAGCACGGGATTCACTGCCCTTAAAATGAAGGGACACTTGTGCCTCCCACCTCGTGGTCCCCACCTGCTTTCCTCATGTGCCTCCTCCCTTCCTTCTCCACTCCAGGTGTCCTCACCTGTTCAGTCACCCCCACTGTGGGCACTGCCTCTTCCAGCCCCCTCCAGTTCTTCACCAGCAGGAGCTCCACTCATCTGTCAAGGTCAATCTCAAATGTCCCCTCTTCGATGAAGCCCCTCCCGAGCCTCCTCCCTGCAGGGAATCTGCTGCCTCTGAAGTCATGTGGGATGTTGCCCATCTCTCTCTCTGTCTCTCTCTCTCTCTCTGTCTCTCTCTCTGTCTCTCTCTGTCTCTCTCTCTGTCTCTCTCTGTCTCTCTCTCTGTCTCTCTCTCTGTCTCTCTGTCTCTCTCTCTCTGTCTCTCTCTGTCTCTCTCTGTCTCTCTCTCTGTCTCTCTCTCTGTCTCTCTCTCTCTCTCTCTCTCTCTCTCTCTCTCTCTCTCTCTCTCTCTCTCGGCCCGGACCACACTCTGCCTCCCGGGTGGGGGATGTGCCCCTGTGCCTGTCGCATTCCTCCCTCCGTCACAGAGGTCCTTGACCTCCTCTTTTCTTCGCCCACTCCCTTCAGCCCACAGCCCCTCCCCAGCACAGTGCCTGGCATCTAAGAGTTAATTTTGAAACACAAGGGAAGGAGATGAGAGGAAGGAAAGAACATAAAACTCATTGTTCTTGAACCAAACAACTCTGGAACAAGACCAATTTAAAAATAAATAAAGTGATTATTCCATAAAGAAAGTACAAGACGTGAAAGACACTCTTAGTTCCAGTGGCCTGGTATTTCTGGAAACCTCTACATGTTAACTTTTCTTCAAGGCTTTGGAATCCATTTCTAGAAATAGCCCCCTGTTCCGATACAAAAGTTACCAAGTGACCGATTCCTGGAACCCCTTAGATTTCTAGCTGGGAGGAGAGGGAGGGAGGCAGCTCAGAGAAGGCAGAGTGAGCCTGAGGCTGAGGGGATGGCCAGCCAAGCACAGGCAGGACCGCGTGCTGGCTGACCGTTAGCTCCTAGGTGGTGGGGAGGAAGCTCCTCCACAAATATTCGAGAGCACTGACTCCAATTATTGGGGGGCACCAAGTAGATAAGGAGGAAAACTGACCTCCGAACCCCTCTGGTCAGATGTGAGTGGACTTTTATCACTTTGCCCCACTATCTTGCGATCACAGGATCTGCTTGCCTCGCAGCAGTCCTTCCGAGTAACCGTCCTGATGGAGGAATGGCGTTATCAGAAGCCCAGCGTCCTCAGGATGACTGACAGACACATTCTGTCAGAGCTGCAGTGTCTGTAGCAAAGGGCTAAATGTACAAGTCTGTGGCGCCATCCTGTCCCTCCTCCACGGTCAGGAAGTCTGTAGCCAGACGCACTCAGGAGAGTCACACACACCGAACGGTGAAGGGACGGAACATTTCCAGCACGTGACCAGCTGGGAGGTTGCTCTGAGTGCAACGCCTCACTTGTGGGTCCCTCGATCTCACTATCTGCAGAGTGAAGGCAGAGTCCTTTCTCGTGGGGGCAGGCGGGAGGTGGGCTGGGTGAGCTCCATACTTGCAGACGGAGGGAGTTAGGGCATTAGGGGTCAGGGTCGGAGAGAGGTGGGTGGGCCCAGGAAAGAAACAGTCTCTGTCTTCTTCACTGAACCCTTCCTCGTTTTTCTCTGCCGCCACTTAGAACTGCTGTCTGCCCTCTGCATTCTCGCAGCCTGTGCTTGTTCCACTGTGTGTTTATCTGTAGAAATATCTGCCCTTCCCATTAGACTGTGCCCTCCTGGTGGGCACAGAGCAGGTCTTCCTCGCTCCTGTGCGTCGGGAACCCAGCACTGTGTAGAGTGTGCTCACTAATGTGGGGAGGGAGGCCCCATCAAAAAAAAAAAAAAAAACAGAGAGGATGAAATCACGCAGAAAACTTTTTTAGAAAGTAGAAAAGCAGTAAGTATGCTCTTGTGTAGAAAAAAAAGGAAGAAAAAGAGAAAGGGGAATGATAGGGACACATTAAAAATGAATGAATGTTTTAAAATTATGTCCTATGGGTTTTATAACATGTAGCAGAGAAACTACACGCCAGTAATAGCTCAAAGGGGTGGAGAGGACAAAGGAAGTTAAAGTAAGGTTTTGTACTGTTCAGAAAGTAGTAGAGGTATTAAGTTATAAGTCGCATATGTATATTGTAATCACTAATTTCTTTACTAAAAGAAAAAGAGGAGGTCAATACTTGCTTAATCCAGAAGAATGCAGGAAGAGAGAAATAAAAAATGAGTGAGGCCAATGGAAACAAATAGTGACATGGAAGACGTAATTCCAACTATATCAGTAACTGCAATAAATATCATTGGATTAATTACTCCAATTACAGCACCAGTATTGCCAGGTTTGTTCAAAATTTAAAAAGCCCCCACTATGTGCTGTTTAGAACAGATGCATGTAAAACACAAAAACCATAAGAGGTCAAAAGAATAGAAGAACAGGGAAGGGTATGCCAGGCAAACAGTAATCAAAAAACCAAGGCAGCTTTATTAACACCAGGAAAAGGAGACGGTGTGGTGAGAATATCACACGATAAAGAGGGACATTTAATAAGGAATAAAACGATCAATTCAAAAGAGATAGATAACAATTCTAAATTTGTATTCTTCTTATAACATAGCTTCAAAATACATTTTCAAGTTGAGCGAAACGATTGCCATGTTGCTTTTTGAGGAGACTGGCTAGCAACCATTCGTGGGATTTTGGTTCTTATTTCCACCGCAGGTTTTCTACAGTCCCTGCTGTCCCCTTGGCCAGAACGAACACTTGGCCAAAGGATGTGGGCATCCTGGCCATGGAGGTGTATTTCCCCGCCCAGTACGTGGACCAGACAGACCTGGAGAAATACAACAACGTAGAAGCCGGGAGGTACACGGTGGGCTTGGGCCAAACCCACATGGGCTTCTGCTCAGTCCAGGAGGACATCAACTCCCTGTGCCTGACGGTGGTGCAGCGGCTGATGGAGCGCACGAAGCTCCCGTGGGACTCTGTGGGCCGGCTGGAAGTGGGCACCGAGACCATCATCGACAAGTCCAAGGCTGTTAAAACGGTGCTCATGGAGCTCTTCCAGAACTCAGGCAACACTGACATCGAGGGCATAGATACCACCAATGCCTGCTACGGCGGCACTGCCTCCCTCTTCAACGCGGCCAACTGGATGGAGTCCAGCTACTGGGATGGTATGTGCAGCTAGAGGTCTTACGTAAGAAAGGAGCTGGGGTTGCGGACTGAACCCTTGCTTTTGCTTCTGTTTCCCCAGGCGGTTTCATCCAGGGAGGGAGGGAGGGACAACTTACTGACACAACCATCGTGATAATAACCGTTTAGACTTGTACAGGCTTGTTCACATAGCCATTCATTTACCTGTACCCCATCTCAGGAAGTGGGCATTATCCCTGATCTATAGAGGAGAAAGTGGAAGATCTGACACCTTATGTATCGTGTGTGGCCAGGGTAATACACCAAACCAAATCCAATGTCTTTCCCATTTCACTGCCCCTGTTTCTCTACAGCTTCTCTTTAGCGTCTGAGAGTGAGAGATTGGTAATGTCAAAAGATTTAAACAAGTTAGGTGTTAAGGTGGAGACACCCTGGTAAAAACAGGCCCGAAGAATCATAGGATAGACTAATTACACAGAATATTTCTACTCTTTCTCCCTTGTCTGATTCTTAGGAATTTGTGTTTGCATATTAACATTACCCTATACCTTACTTATGCCTTTCTCCTATTGCAAGAAAGAACCCCTGTTGTAATAGCGTGAAAGGTCCAAGGGAAACAGTTCAAGTTGAGAGTTAGAAACCTAGTTCTGTCAGTAACTGTTGACAAATCCCTTAACCTCTTTGAGCTCCATAGTTCTTACTTGCCTACTTGCTTGCAGGGCTGGTCAGAATTGAGTAACGTACGCACGCAGGTGAGGAATAACAGTGCCTAGGCAGTCAAGGCGCCCGATGTTTAACGAGGTGGAAACTGGAATTAAAGCCTTGTAAACCATAATGAACATTAATTATAAAATTAATTCTGAGGCCTTAACGTTGGCAGGGCCCTTAGGGACAATCTCACCCAATGTGCTTTACTTTAAAAAGAGGACAACAAGTGTGAACCGTGTGTCTCCGGTCGCACAGCAGAGCATTGTGATTCCACACGCCCACTCGGTGTTTCTTCAGTTGCCCCGTGTAGCTTCCCCGCCCGTCGACGCGGTGTGTTCCAGCCTCTGCATCATCAAGTCTGTCCATACAGTGCTTCTCCCACTTGGCACTTACGTGATTACCTCTCCAGCAGCCCTATTACCTTCATGGCCAGCGTGTCCAGCCAAGCGTTTCATTGGAGTGTAGAAATAAAAGGCAAGGGGCGCTCGCCAGCCTGTGAGCAGCACTCAGAGCCTAGACTGGGAACACCATCAGCTTGAAGCACAATCGCTGCAAATAAGAAAATTCTGCTGAGTGCCTGGGCATTCCCCAGGGGCAGGCTGCAAATGCATCCTTCTTGAATATGAGGCTATTGAGATGGGAATTGTCACTCTGTATAAAAACATAAAGCGTATTTAAGCTGGAGCCTAATGGCGCCTGCCAAGCCCAGATGAGGCCAGTGTTGATGAGATAGATCTCCGTTCTGACCCGGCCAGCCATCCACCTAGGGGGCCTCCAATGGGGAGGGGGGTGGACCCCTGAGAAACAGCAGGTACCAGCTCCGATGACCTGGGAGTCCTCATGCTTTTTTGTCTTTTTTAATGAAAGCAATAGAAATTTATGCTTAAAAAACATATATACAAATACAAAAGGGTGTAAAGTGAAGAAAAAGTTCCCTTTGACACCTTATTACCACTTTCCAGAATTTAACACTAACAATTTCTTCCAGATTTTTTTCTACGTACCAGCAAGGAGACACATATCTGTTCAGTTTTAGTTTTTAACGTTATACTCTAAGGTGTGCTGGAGGTTATTTTACATCACTATACATGAGGTCTGCTTTGTTATTTTAAAAGCTACATAACAGTCTATTCGTTGATATGCCAAACTTAATTAGCCCCATATTGATGGATATTTAGACTGTTACAAGTTTTTTTTGCAATTACAAATAATGTTTTAATGCCCATTGTATGAGCTTGGTTTGCTCATTGGACTGTGTCGTAGGAATGGATTTCCAGAAGGGGAATTGCAGGTCTGTCGTGTTGGTTTAAGAGTTTGATACAATGGGACCAATTGTTCTTCAAAATGCTACACTAAAGTGTATTTCTACAGTTCATGTTATCAAACTTTCTAAATAACAGTGTCATCCCTTTGTCTTTCTTTCATTAAGAGAGCTTCAGTAATTTTTATGATGTTTGTTGGCCATTTTCCTATTTCATACTTTGTCCTTTTTCATATGAGACTTTTATAAAAGAAAGAAAATGGCTTTTTGTTGAGTATCAATACTTCCCCACTTTTTTTGAGTTTGTGTCTGATAGGTTTTAATTTTTAAGTAGTTAAATTTACTGATTTTTTTCTTAATGACTTCTAAGTACACACACAAAGATGGATATAGACATAAATATATAGATATACATACTTGGAAAAAATACTTTTTTGTGGGGGATAGGGTTGTTATAGTTCTTAAAAGAAAGATCTTGAGTATCAATGAATTAAATTAGAATCCCAACTGAGTTCTTATGGTGCCATCTATTAGCCGTGCGGCTCTGGACAAGTGGCTTAAGTTCTTTGGGCCTCGATTTGTCTAGAAAAAGGGGATAATGATATCTGATTTATAGGCTTATCATGAGAATTAAATTATGCACAGATATGGCTCCCAGCACAGCACTGCCTCACTGGCTGGCGTGAGACCCGTTTGGGGGTAACTAGTGTCCAGCTAGTTTTTCAAATGTTAGTTTCCCTCCCTACCTCTTGGCCTTCTGTGGGAAGGAATTTCAGCCACAGGGTAGCTAAAGGTGATGGGTATAAACCTAAATTACATCCTAAAGTGCCGATTAGCACATTTTTTCATTGAATTCTGAGTAAATGAGCATGTTACAGCTAGAGTAATGGGACACTGAGTTTTGACTTTGTGTTTCAAATGTGCTGTGATGCGTGCGTTTCACTAGAATGTAAGCTCCATGGGGCGGGGATCTTGGGTCTTGTTCGCTAGTCTGTTTTCAGTACCTGAAACCGAGGCTCACATGTAAGGGGCCCCCAGTCGACTCGAGATTTGATGGTGAGGATAACTGTTTCTTCTTTGTCATTACAGGTCGCTATGCAATGGTGGTCTGTGGGGACATTGCAGTGTACGCCAGAGGAAATGCTCGCCCCACGGGCGGGGCCGGGGCCGTGGCAATGCTGGTTGGGCCCGAGGCTCCCCTGGTCCTTGACAGAGGTCTGTAGCAACCTGCCGGTGCACGGTGCTGAGAGACTGCGCGCAGTGCAGCCGAATGCGTAGCTCCTGGTCCTAAATCCGCATACCCACTATGCAGGGCAGAAGGCTGGATTTGAGGATACTGCTTGCTTTCAAAAGGCTGGACGGGGGACTGGGGAGCAGAGGGCAGGGAGAACAATCGGGGAGGTTTCCTCTTCTGCGCTGTCACACGTTGGGTTAGAGACGTGTGGAATTAATGGTGCAGACGCTGTCAGCATGGGCCTTAGGGAGCTAAACCGGCGATTAGAGATGAACGATGATGGTATTGGACATAAAGTAAAAGCCTTTCCTTTCAGACTTTCGGCACCTATGCCAGATTTTGTTAAGCCTATATAGGTGTGGACAGAGAAACGTCAGTCTCATTTATGTAAGCACAATAGTCTATTGAACTTCCTCTGTGCACGTGAGGGAGGTCGAGTGGGCTCAGGCTTGGGCATGCGGCAGACAGGGAGCAGGAGCCTGCGCAGTTGCTGGTCTCCCATCCCCTCTGCTCTGCGCGGGCTGCACTGCGCAGTCCCTGAATCCCGACGTGTGCCTTGCCAGGGCTTCGGGCAACCCACATGGAGAACGTCTACGATTTCTACAAACCAGACCAGTCCACGGAATACCCAATGGTGGACGGGAAGCTCTCCATCCAGTGCTACTTACGGGCCTTGGACCGATGTTACGCAGTATACCGTCAAAAAATCCAGAACCAGTGGAAGCAAGGTATGGGGCTCAGAGGGCAGAGAGTGGGGGGCTCTGTGTACATGGGGCCCAGTGTTTGTCATAAACGCTTAAGACCAGGTCTCTTCACTCCTCTGAAAATGATCTCATGAGAACTGTTTCATGACCCCTTCCTCTTGCACCCGTCCCTGGGTCTGTGCTCAAGTGTACTTGGATGTCATCCAAGTTCAAGGATGAAAGTGCCTCTAACTTGAGCTAAATAAAGAAAAAAAGTCATCTAGACCAAAGCCACCAGTGTGACAACAGTGAATGTCAGCCCCCCGGGAGGGGTCCTCTGGTCAGTCAGAGCAGCCACATCCTGCTGGGCTGAGGGTTTCCTTCCGCTGAAGGCAACAGCAAACTGACTCCTGGTGTATAGTTTGCCACCCTTTAGGTCTGGTTGATGTTGAAAAGTCTTACCTGTGTTTTCGGTATGCTATTATCAATGATTTTTCTCCAGATGGTGGTGTTACAAGTTGATTTTATTTTCACCTTCAGTTTTTAAATTTTCCTGCTTAAAAATATGTACTGCTTTCATAATCAGAAGAGAAACAAATTTTATTTTAAAAATATTGAGAAACCTATTTTTGAAATATAAAAAGAGTTTTTACCTGCTCAGCCACGCCCAGACGGGCACCCACAAAAGGCAGGTGTCGGTGAGGGAAAAGGCAAGTGCGAAAGCGCCAGAGCATGACGCTGCAGGGGTGGCGTGAGGAGCCGCTTCTTGCCCCTTTGTCTGCAGTGGGTGACGTGCCAGCTGCCACAGCCGCCCCCAGGGGTGCGGAGCCAACCCGGGCCTCCCTGCCTCAGCCCACCCGCTGTAAAGCTGCTATTGGCTAACAGCTTTCGCCTCCTCTAAATTCTTACGGCATTCTGATTTCACTCCATTTTCTCATGTGGAGTTTGAACGGTGCTGCTTCAGAGTCAGCACTAAATTGTACACTTTCTAAAGACAGAGGGTGTGTTGCTCTCCTCTTCGAAGTGAGAAAAACGGTCTGGAACATCGAGTCGGAGACTTGGAACCTGAATCCAAAGACAGCCGTTTTCAGGCTGGGTGACCTTGGACAGATAACTGAGCTCCACATTTTGTGGGCATTGTTTCCTCCTCTGGACAACAGAGAAAATAATAGAACACAAGGTTGACTTGGGGGAATCGTCTGTCATAAAGGTTGGCAACAGTAGGGAGGGAGAACATATTTATTCCCTTCCCTTCTTTCTTTATGAGTAGGGTCTTAGTGAAGTGCTTGTACCTTATGAGTGCTTGCTGGAGGCAGGACCCAGCATCCCTCTGCACAGTTAGATCTGGGAGCGAAGGTCTAAGTGGCCTATCTAACCATCATGCCACATCCTTGTTTTCGTACTTCTTCCTCCAGCTGGCATCGACCGACCTTTCACTCTCGATGATTTACAGTTCGTCATCTTCCACACGCCCTTTTGCAAGCTGACACAGAAATCCTTGGCTCGCCTGATGTTCAATGACTTCCTGTCCGCCAGTAACGACACACAGATCAGCCACTACAAGGGGCTGGAGGCCTTCAGGTGAGTCCTCTCTGTGGGGACCATAGAGGCTCATCAGCGGTGAGGAAGGAGGGGGCTTCCTCACGCCTTGAGTCTGGCCACCAGCCACTCCTGTGGGGAAAAAAACACTCCTCCAACACAATAGAAATGACACTGAGCTGGGTTATTAGGTTATTGTCTATGTAGGGTCCCCCACCTTTTATTAGGTTACCTGGGTTATTAGGTTATTGTCTATGTAGGGTCCCCCACCTTTTATCTCAGGGATACAGAGGGGCTGCCAGCACCTCTGGGTCAAGTGGCTGTGAGACGCTTCAGAGAATAAGAAGAAGGAGAGAGAGAGAGTGTGGCTCTGTCATTCAGTCAATAAACATCCCATGGACATCAGCTATGTGTCAGGAGGCATCATTCACACTCAAGGGACACAGGAACGAATGTGACTCCATGATCTCTGCCTAGAAGCTCTCACAGTCTATATGGACAGAAACACCTAGAAACAAATCATCTCAGTACAGGATAGCAACTCAGGGAGTGTCTAGTCCATTCTCACTCACCATTGACCTCATTAATGTCTGGCTTATTGCCTCAATTTACCCATCTATGAAATCAAGACAGACAGCCTAGCTCTCCCTCTGAGAGGTCAATACAGCAGGAAGAGTGGCATTTATTGATGCATTACTCCAAGGTATTTGAAAAAGAAGACTCTCCAATACAGAGAGTTCCTACTAAGAGGAGAATGTTTCCCCCTTTCTTTTTGGTATCTATTCAAGTTTTGTAATATGCTGAAACATCTGCTCTTATTACACACTACCACTACTACTACTACTAACCAAAACACTGAAATTAGCACAAACATTGCTTATGAAACCTGCTCCATGAAAAACATATTCTAATATATACTAAAGATAATAGCCTGATATCTTTAATATAAGAAAATCTTGTCGATAATTAAGTAAACGCTTCAGCAGAAAACTGAGCATAAGATATGAATAAGAAATTTCCTCAAAGAAGAAATACACACAATCATATTTTTCAATGTGCATGTGCATTATAACAAAGTTAAACAAGTTACCATGTTCTTCATGCAGCCTTTTTAAAATTTGAATACCCAGAACCAACGAGGCTGTGGGAACATGGGAGATGATGGGTGTATAAATCGATACAAGGATTTTGGGGAGCAATAGGAAATCATGAAACAAAAGGCTTAACCGTGTGCATGCCTTTTAGCTCAACAATTTCAGATGTTTAAAAGAACATGTAATTTTTCATTGTAGTGTTTTAACTGGTGAGGACAGGAATGGGCAGATGGGCCAAAGCAGGGCCAATTCCATCATGGCCCATTCTTGCAGCCTTTAAAAATAATATTATAAAAGCAATTTAATGTACAGAGGAAACCGTGAAAGAGGCACGCTAAACAGAATGCAAGCATGATTTTATTTCCCAATAAACTGTGTGAAAGTAGTGATAGATTCCACAAGAAAAACATCACTTCAGTGCTCTCTCTGAATGGCAGGAATGTTAGTGAGATTTTCTTCTTTGCGCTTTTCCGTATTTCTAAATATTCTACAATAAAAACACATGCCCAAGGGTCTTCTCTCCAGAAGCGTCTCTTTTCTCCTCGCTGCCACCCTCCCCTCCTGTGGTCACTCACCTGGCCTGTTGCTCTGGCTGCCTCACAGGGGGCTAAAGCTGGAAGACACCTACGACCACAAGGAGCTTGAAAAAGCTTTGCAAAAGGCCTCCCTGGACATGTTCAACAGGAAAACCAAGGCCTCCCTTTACTTCTCCACGCACAACGGGAACACGTACACCTCGTCCCTGTATGGGTGTCTGGCCTCACTTCTGTCCCAGTGAGTACTGCATCTGGTCTGAGGGGTCAGCCAAGTTTGGTTCCTCTGCTGGTTCAGGTTTTTTTTTCAGGAAGGAAGAGAGGAAGGGAGGGAGAGGGAGGGAGAGAGGGAAAGATGAAAGAAACTTGTGTTAAAGGTAGGTATTGGAGGTTTACCGTCAGTATTAAATAGTCATCTCCAAAGTGAAGTTCATGTATCTTCAGGGGACATGCAAGATCTACCTGATGTGGCAAGAAAATAGAAGAAATTTTGTGTATATTTTTATCTCATCCATTTAAACTGCTATACCTCATAAAATATAGTGGTTAAGAGAGTCCAGCTTTAGATCCTACAACCTAGGTTCAAATCTCTTTATCACTCATTAGCTTTGACCTTGGGAAAATACTCAACCTCTGTGTGCCTCACTTTCCCCATCCATAAAATATGTACAGCAGCAATATGTACCTTCCAGGGTCTTGATGAGGATGAGTGTTAAATGTCTAAAGCAATTAAGACTGCTGTGCTCAGCAGATGCTCAAATGTTACTTGTTTGACATTCTATTTTACAGGTTTTTGAAGAAAATACTTGTATTATAGTACATGCATACACTATAGGAGAGATATATATACACACACATACACACTGACAAAACTATTACTAATGAGGGGATGGTAAAAGAGGTGCAAGGGCTGAAGCATCACCAGTCACCATGGAGGCCTGACAGTGGCCCAGGTTCCTGTGGGCCCATCTCCACCTGGAGATGCCTTCAGAGTTCGCTGGCCTCCACTTGTTCTCGTGGGGGGGTGGAACTTTTCCTTTTCCAGCTTGAAATGTTGTTAGGTTCACTGTGTCTTGGATTTTATCTGCTCTCTTCTCGGCACATTTTTCTCCTTCTGGGCTTCTCCCCAGGGTCCAAAAGCCCCTCTCTGTTGGGAGCTCTTCCAGCTTCGAGAGGCAAACTGCATTGGGCTGATGGGTTGGTTGTTCATTAGAAGCACAGAATGTGACGCCAATGTGTTTTCTAGCTTTTGATTTGTTTCCCTGCAGGCACTCTGCCCAGGACCTGGCTGGCTCCAGGATTGGTGCCTTTTCCTATGGCTCTGGCTTGGCAGCCAGTTTCTTTTCACTTCAAGTGTCCCAGGATGCTTCTCCAGGTGGGTCTCATCTTTCTAGCAGGCACTTCTGGCAAAACGCATCTGGTAAGAGGAACGAGTTTCTGCCTCACCAGCACTGAGGCTCCCAGTGTGATTAAGAGCAAAGGAAACCCGTAAAGGGGTGTGAGCAATGGAGTGAGTGTGTCTGATTTATGCAATCGAAGCACTTCCCGGACTGCTGCTGAGAGACTAGACTGAAGAGGAGCGAAGGCAGAAATGGGAAACCAATCCAGGCAAGAGTAACGATGGCTTGGTTGCAGCTGGTTAAAGAGAAATAGTGGGTCTGAGATATCCAGTCAATAGTTGTTGATTATTTTAGCACAAATGCAACAAAAGGAACACATCTACTTCAACTAAATGAGCATGTCTGCCCTTACCTCCTGCTAGCGTCGTGTTTGCTGACCTTTTTCGTTCCTTGGCATTCTAAGCTGCACACTAATCAGAGTACTTTCCTGCAGGGTTTGCGCTCCCACAAAACCTGTGCTAGATTGGTGACTGGTAGTGGTGATAATGACAATGAAGCAGGTTTTCCAATCTTGCTTTTGCTTTCCAGGCTCCCCCCTAGAAAAGCTGGTATCTAGTATGTCAGACCTGCCAAAACGCCTTGCCTCCAGGAAGCGCATGTCTGCTGAGGAGTTCACGGCAATAATGGACCAAAGAGAACAATACTACCACAAGGGTAAGACAAAGGCAGGAAGAGAGAAGGAGAAGGCAATTTTCCCCAGATTCTGTGCCAGCAGCTGACAGTCAGGGATGCATCAGAAGCCTAGAATACGGTGAGCCGAGGTGAAGCAGTCTCTGCGATACGACTGGGAGCAGATATGTTAGGTGTCAAGGGGCAGGGACTGGGTAGGGAAGCAGATGACAGAGTTGGGAAGAGGTAGCAGGCAACACATGGCTCCTTGGTATGGACTGTGGCTAACCACCCAAAACAGGGTACTGGCCCATGTGGTCCCATGGAAGCCAGGGGTATGGTCTTGGAAAGTGCCATCTAGCTAACACTGAAAGAGCCCAGACTTTGGAGCTAGATATCCAAAGGTACACTGATCTGTGACACTCATAAGCTCTTTATCTTTGGGGAAATTACTTCTCAGTTGTCTCATTTCTAAAATCATACCAACTTTACCCTGGCTGGTGTGGTTCAGTAGATTGAGCGCTAGCATGAGAATCGAAGGGTCACTGGTTCGATTCCCAGTCAGGGCACATGCTTGGGTTGCAGGCTGCTCCTGGTTGGACGTGAGAGAGGCAATACACTGATGTGGGCAACCAACTGATGTTTCCTGTAGGGAAATGTCATAGTGCTATAATAAAGTTTCTAATAGCCAAGCCCGAAGTGCTAGATCCAAGATGACTGCCTCTGGTCCTTCTGCTGGTCCGGAGCTCTGCTGGGTGTGTAGCCGATGACCTCACGCCCCTTGCCGCACAGCCAGGAGAGCATCACCATAAGCTATAGGCGTCTCTATTTTTCCCTCCCCAGCCGCATCTAGCTTTTTTTGAGTGCTGCCTCTTCTCCTTATTCTGCAGTGGATTTCTCACCCCCTGGAGACACAAAGAACCTTTTCCCAGGCACCTGGTACCTGGAGAGAGTGGACGAGCTGTATCGCCGGAAGTACGCCCGCTGTCCGGTCTAAAGGTGGTGAGTGGAATGTTGCAGGGCTGGTGGCAAGAAACCCTTTCCTCGGAGAGGAAGGTGCAGTTCAGACAGCGTGACTACACCCGGGAAGGGGTGTGGCTCCCCAAATGACCAGAGGTGGGGAGTGCGCACTATGAGGACCGAGGAAAACGCTTAGGACTCGTGGCCCTGGAAAGCCAAAAGCACAGGGAACAAGCATATTCTTAAATCCTGAATGGAAAATAAAAAGAGTCTACTTGTTTATCTGATTGCTCATGATAGGAAGCTCCCCTAGAAGCTGGATAAAATAAAATCAGCAGCCATAAGGGGGAGCAGACTGTGATCATGAACCCACGGAACTCGTTACCCCAAAGGGGTAAGGTCAGGAGGGGCACACACCAGTGTGGTGGGGAGATTCACAGAGAAACGGGGTCTTCAGGAGAGAAGAGTTTAATGGAGGATTGAGGCCAGAGGAGGGATGGGAGAATTCTTTAAAATACTTTTTAAAGGAAAACTGAGTTTTTGGAATTAGAGTCTTGTAGTTCATGGACCCGGCTATCGGCCTTCCATTTATCTTCCGAGTTGGTAAGGTAAGCAAAAAAGTGAGAAGCAATTTCTTCTACAAACCTTACATCTCCATAAATACAGTCCCCTGCCCAAATACTTCCTCCATAGTTTTCTGGTGTTTTTCTTGTTTCGCTCCTTTGGTGGATGAAGGGGGAAGAATAGAAAGGTTTGCCAAGGGCAAGGTGTGCAGCAGGAGACCAAGAGGGGGGAGTCCACAGATAAAGGAGGTGCTGAGGTGAAGCAGGGAAACCACCGGCTGAGGGGGCCCCTCCGCTCACTCCCCGCCACGGCGGGCCTGTCGGTGCTGGGCTGTCAGACCTTTGAGGCTGGGCTGCTGAACAGCTGGGCTGGCAGGGGCCAGGCCTGCGGACGGGGGGGCTGCAGGGCCGACTGGGGGCTGCAGGGCACGCTGGGAAGGCAGGTTCAGCAAAGCAGATTCACCAGATTCTGATCTGCCACAGAGTCGTTTGTTTGCTTGCTCGTTTGTTTGAAATACAGTTCTTAAGGGAGAGTCAATGGCAAAGAGGGAGCTGTTAAATGTGTCAAGCTAGTTTAATCATCATCGAGGGAGCAGGGGAGGAAGAGAGAAGCAGGGGGGAGTGGTAGGGAGGGGGAAAGAGAAAAATCTGTGTTTTTTGAGGTGTGTTTTGGAGAAAGAGGGGGAACAAAATGTGGGATTTCAAAAAGAGAGTTTCAAGGTCCAGCTCCTTCCTCTCCTGGCCAGCAAACCTCTTAGGCAGCATGGTCCCCGTGAAGGCAAAAGCCGCAGCTCGTGGACTGGTCTCGTGACGATCACTCGCACGGGAACAAACCTGCACCAGCGAGGTGTTAGCTGAAACAGGACTTTGAGTCCCAGCAGAGCTCTGCAGAGCTCTAGCGGTCTCTGCACTGCCCAGCCTGCCTGGCCTGCTCTCCGCCCAGACAGACCGCGTACTGGGGAGTCTGCCAGCCTCCGGGCCAGGGCTCCCCAGCACTGGTCATAGGCCCTGCAGGAGTCAGGGCTCGAAGCTGGGGGTGGGGGAGGGTGGAAACCCCAGACCTCAGGACGAGTTTAGGGGAGCCCCTGCGCATAGCCCCACCTCCGCAAGAAGCAGGTATGGGGGTGGGGGTGGGGGGCTGCCATGGATGAGATTCACCATTCAATGCCCTTTTATTGTTTCTTTAAATTCTACAGCTCCGTGGAGCGGTCCCTGGGAAAAGTCCACTAGCAGAGCTTTTGCCCGAGAATCAGGTAAAGAAAAACAAACAACAGCCCACTCGGAGCTGGTACACAGATCGGATTAGACACACCAGCCCTGTAAGCCCTGGCGAGTGACAGCCACCCTCCGTGAGGCCTTCGTGCCTTTTCCTGCTGTAGTCACTGTCATGGGCTTGTGACTCTGTGGGTCAGGGGCCCTTTGTGAAAAAGAGGGCTGGGGAAAAGGCCTGGCCTTGCCCTCCAGAAATGCGGCAGATCAGTTGTCTCCAGGATCCGGATACCTTGCTTATCGTCCATTGTAGCTTTGCTTTTATTATTATTACTAAATCTCTGTGCTGTTCTGTCTTTATTCTTTCTTCCAGTTTTCTGTGAATTTATAAATTTTATACCTGGTACTAAGCTAATATAACACCATTAAAAAGACAGAGAAGTGAGGGGGAAGGAGGTGAAGGGCGTCCACTGCACGGCATGAGATGAGAACTAGACTCTGGCCCCGGCCAGCATGGCTCAATTGGCTGGACTGCCGTCCTGTAACCAAAAATTTGCGGGTTCGATTCCTGATCAGGGCAACATGCCCAGGTTTGCGTTCACTCCGTGGTCTGGGCCTGTACGGGAGGCAAACAATCGACACTTCTCTCTCGCATGGATGTTTGTCTCTCTCTCCCTTCCTGTCTCTCTAAAAAGGGATGAAAAATATGTCCCTGGGTGGAGATAAAATAAATAAACAACTAGACTTAGGGAGGCGATGACTTTGTAGTGTGTACAGATGTCGAATTATAATGCATGCTGTACACCTGAAATTTATATAATAAAGAAATAAAAGTAAAAGGGAAGAGAGGCAACCAAGCCCCAACTGTGCATAGAACAAAAATCACAAGCAAGAAAACGAAATGAGATACTCAAGAGAAAAGGAGGAACAGTTCTTCTATTTCCTGGAAACCAGAACATAGAAAAATTCACACTGGCTGCCCTGCAGAGAAGCCTGCCCCGCCCCCTGGCCCCCGGCTGGGAGGGCCCCCTCCTGACCTTGCGACTTCCCCACCACAATAGGAATGCTGAGCAAGCACCGCCCAGGCCCCCGCTCCCCATCCCCCACTCCCCATCCACTCTGTTCTCTGAGAGGCTCTGGGGCAACATGGGCGGGAAGACGCACAGCTTGGACCCCAGCTTCCCTCCCTGATCTAAAGATGCCCCACAGAGCACAGCCAGCGACAGGGGCCACAAGTGACTGCCCAGCGCTTGTAGATCAAAGCTCCTTCTCATTACCAGTGTTATCTGAACAAATAAACACAGGGCAGAGGTTAATAGGTCAACTCTGGCTCCTCCAGCCAAAAAAAAAAAAAACATTGTGGATACCTAGCGAGGAATTTCTCCATGAGAAGGTTGTTTGTACCCCTTGGGCTGTGGCACTGCTTGTTCCAAGATTCTTTTACAAAATTGCCATGGCTCGGGGAGGTGGGGGCTGAGCTGAGGAGGGGCCCAGAAGGAGGGAGAGGACGCAAAATTCTTGTCGTTTGTTTCCTTTTAAAAAGTTTCTTCAGCCTCCCTAACGAGTAAGTGCACTTTGGAGGAGAGACTGTTCCCATCAGTGGGGGGCAGGGCTGGCTGGGGGTGCCAGGGACAATGGGGCAATAGACACGGGGGAACGAGGTGCTGGGCCCGCCTACTCTGCTCTTTGCCCGAGGCTGTTCATGTCCCAACAAGCACCAGAAAATCTGAGATAAACCACAGTTGGAGCAGCTAATCCAGCATCAGCTGACTCCGTCCCAAGCTCTCCCCCAGGTGCTTGCTCAGTTCCGGCTCTAGGACACGGGCTGTGGCTGCCCCTTAGCAGCCCTTTGCTAACCCCTACTGCCTGTTCCCCCGGCAAGCTGTTTGGGAGCCCTCAGTCTCGTCGACATGCCTGGTAGGACAATACATGCCTTTCCTGAGATACTCCAAGTAGTGTCAGTGTCCACGGGAGAAAGCCCACATTCACCTGCCCTCTTGAGGTTAGAGACTTGCCTTTGTAGTTCACTGGGGGCTCTTGGTGCTGGAACTGCCCCCATCAGCCCCAGCAACTGAGACCTTCCATAGTACCTGCTGCTGGGGCCAGACCAGCCTCCGCTCAGCAGTCATTTGGACGAAGCACGGGGCTGATGTCAACAATATTTAACAATGAGGCTCTCAGGGTGCTGGCCGGTTTGAATGGATGCTGCCTGTGCCCCTGCACGCCTGCTGGGGGTCAGCTCTGGCTCAGCTCGGGGCACTCAGGATGACACTCTGGTCATTGCCACCCTGACAGAGAGGTTCCCACTGCCTTCAGTGCTCCTTCTTCACTGACTTTGACCCTGAGCCCTAGGTCTCCCTCTGGCCACTCTGGGGCCCATGTCGTTAAAACAGGCTCCTGCCAGCTCCCAACAGAGCCCTCTCCCCCCGTGTAGGGCCAACTAGGAGGGAATGATTCTCCAGTCGCCCCGTCGCCCTTTCACTCTAAGGACAGCTCCCATCATGCAGAGGAAGAACTTCCCAGTGTGGGCAAAACATCAGCCAGGGGGACGGACCCAGAGCAGGAAAGAAGAGGAAGTGATTCCTAGACTAGGACATGGAGCCACGTTACACTCATCCCAAGCCAGAGCACTTGACACGTGACGGTCAAACAGATGTGGAGAGCTGCCCACCCAGCCCGCTGACCACCACCGAGGGCCTCCAGGCATCACAGTGAGCACACACACACATTTCTAAATCTCAGCGTCCCGGGATTCTGAGGCCAGGTCCCCCTTTCCAGCATTTGCTGCCTCCATCACTGGGCTCATGAGAACCTTCTGGCTGTGGGTCTTCCACTCCAAGGTCAGGCGGTACAGAGGTGCCACAAATAGCAGAGGAGCACAGAGGAGCACAGAGCACCTCCTGTGCAGCGCTAGCTGGGTTTTTAATAATCATGCCTTTTTAAATTTGGGGGCGTTTACGTGGGCAGTCACTAAACAGGACAATGCAGTAAAATTGCCCCATGCCTGGGTGTGCCACTCACATCTAGCAAGGGACTGTGGGATGCTCATGTAATTTGGGTTTTCAGAACTGTCCTGGCCACTTTAGCACAGAATATGGTCTGTCTAGGGAGTTTTGAGGGAAGAGCCTGAGAGGCTGAAAATTGAGCTCGATGTTTCATTTCATTAATCCCTGCCTGTTTTTTCCAAGTGACCCCTCGCCAGAAGTCACGTGGTGCACGAATCTCTCTTCAATAGGAGGGGGTAGGTGATCTGAGAGTCAGGACACCCCCTCCAGACGTGGCTGACAGTCACGACCAGGTCAAGGGGAAGGCTCTTTAGTGTAAGGAGTTCCCTGTAAAAGACTGAGACCTGCTTATCTCAAAGGCACAGGTATGAAAGTACAGGCTTCACCAACTGCCTCTGTTATTCCCCTAAAACACTGCAGTGAAAAAACCAGAGGCGCTCAAAGCCAACCTTGCTGGTCTCATCCTGGCCTGTCCCCTTCTGGGTCCCCTGCAGCAAGGTGACATGCCAGTCCTGAGCTCACTGCCGACGCTAGCACAGCGGTTCCCGGTGGCCCTCCTGCCACCCTTCAGCCCATCACAGCACGGAGGAGGCCCAGGTGGAGAGTTTGCTCCTGTTCATGCCCATCGATGCCCTGTGCCAAGCTTTAAACCTGGGCCGCAGTCTCAGAGAGAAGCTGCCGGGCACGAGGTAGAGATGCATCATCCCCTACTAACGGAAAAACCTCAAAAAGTGAAACCCTTAGGATCGGGAGCTCCATTCTGTCATCTTCCTTGAAAATCATCTTTAAAAACACATCAACTGATATACTCTCCAACCCATACGGAGCTGGCTTTGTAAACTCGCTTGACCTTCTCATGCCCCACACCTTGCTCACACGGTCTTCCCTCCATGAAATCCTCTCAAACGTCTCAGAGAAACCATCTTCGGCTGGACTGCTTCCTCCCCTGGGCTCCGCAGAGGCCACGTGCCCCTGCTGTGGCGCCTCGCTTGGCGCTCCCAGCGACCTGTGCGTGCCCGGTCCCTCCGCCAAGTGCAGACTTCTGCAGGAGGCTGTGGTGCCGTGCTCCTCCAAAGCACATCACCTGTTTGTTCTGTGTGTGTCTAGTCCCCGATGGAAGGGATCTGAAACCTGGGAAGCAGGGGGAGATCCCTTCCGGGCACCTGCACCCATGCCTGCAGTTGGCCCGTCCACAGGCCCACGCCCCAGCCTCCTGCGGCCAAAGCCAGCCCGTGGCTGCCCGGGGGCGCCTTCTAGTGGCTCTTGTGAGTAATGACAACACAACAACAAGGAGACGGGTGGGCTCTTTACTAGGTGGTTATTGCTGTGCTACAGGGGTCTGATCACACAGGCCGCGTCAGCTCCAGGCACGTGCTCTCCTGCTGGTGGTCGCAAAGCCCCCGAGGCTGGGCCTGGTGAGTCCCAAAGTTAGAAGTGGAACTGGAAGGCCTCGGTCACGTGCTGCTTCCAGGCGTCCAGGCTGGGCAGCGGGGAGGAGATGCCCATGACGTGCCAGGTCTCCCCGTCTGACACCACCGAGGTCTGGTAGGACACCAGCTGCACGCCTGCCTCTGCCAGGAGCCCTGGGAAGAAAAACCCCTGGTCGGCCCTGGGCACGGGGAAGGAGAAGCGAGGGGCTGGGGGTCTCGGACTGCTGTGATCCAAGCCGCAACAGGGGTGACGGTGTCGGATGCAGAGAGCTGAGGGAAGGAACACCCTTGCAGCTTCCCTCGCTGTCCCGGAGGCTCCAGAATCCCCTGACCACGAGGCAAGGCCGGAAGGCACACACTAGTGCAACGGCCTGACCTGCAGGCTGCCCGCTTCCCCCAGACCAACAGGGAGAGAAAAGCAGGGGAAAGTTCCTCTGGGCGACTGGCAAGATGGGGAAATGAGGCCCTCTGAGGACACGCTCTGCCAGGAAGTGTGCTCTACAGCTCCCAGAAGCTGGGGCGCCAGGGCACTGGGGCAGGTGGGGATGCCCGGCAGGCTGGCTGTGGTCAGAAGGAAACCCGCCCTCCACGGCTGAGCTCCTGGGATGTGGCTCCGTGAGCAGGTCCCCGCCGTGCGCTTCACACGGTGAGCAGCCCAGTTAATGGGGGCTCTGAAGCCCAGCCCCTGCCGCGCTGCCCTGTGGCCGCGCTGCCCGGCAACCTCAGGCGAGGCACTTCCCTCTGAACTCCGTATCTGCTTCCCAGTGTCCTGGCAACCACCATGACAGACCCTCTGTCATTTGCAGATCCAGAGATGCCCCGAGGCCGGAGAGGAGCTGAAGAATGCTGAAGTCTATGGAACCCAATCCCAGGCCAGGACAACCCCTCCCCCAACCAACGACTCCTGCCTCAGGACACCGGCCAG